AAATTCAAACCTTATTGTTTGAAGAACATAAGGGTCATAATATTGGGGAAGTCAGGCGCAGTAAGGACCTAACACAAAGGTCGGATGCAAGTGATACAGCACCTATGAGGACGATATAGCGAGCGTATTCAGTTGTAGCTCTGAGCGTCACCCTTGCAATCCTATGCTTTTTATTTAGATGATACTTAGATGAATCGTTTTCTGCGTTCAGTGATGATGCATCTGATACAAATAGCATAGATGAACAGTGTTAGCGGCTTCCATGGTGGTGTTTTCCATAGATATTTTCAAGAATACCTGAATCTCTTCCCAACTGACGGACACTCTTGAGGCTAGCTGAATCTCTTTCTGACTGACGGACACTCTTGAGGTAAGCTGAATCTCTTCCTGTGTGGGCCCATACAAAGCGATCTTTTCAAGACTACCTTACAAATTGATCTTTTCCTATAATCTTTTCAATAATACCTTATGCTTTACAAGCTTGGTTACATACAACCTACAAGTTCTAAAGCCAAGGGTGTACGTGAGTGCGTTATTTACAAGCACACAGAATGAAGAAACAGGAAGCGAAAATTTATCTGTACCTGGTGCACTGAGAGCGAAGTTGCGCTGTGTACCATGGGCTACTTCGTTGATTATTACTCACTTTCGAAGTACTTAGTGTGTAATACAGTGTGTTACTGTGCAAATAGTGTGTGAAACTGTACATATCGTAATTTTAGTGAATTTTTAACAGGTAATATTGTGACAATAAACATTTATTGTGGACACATTACTGACACATGTATCACAGTTCCATGGAACATTATGAACGTTTTATTTTATACATATTGTAAAGAACACAAATATGCATCATATACGATAAAAAAAAACAAATAAAACCGCATTGGAAATACATAAAACAAATAATTGAAAATATATTTGTGGCAACACCTGGTGCTTGAATGGCCTGCAAGACCATGTCTGGGCGAGTCACGCACGGGTGACCAGGCCTGTGATGTGATGCATATTGTAAAGGACACAAATATGCATCATATACGATAAAAAAACAAATAAAACCGCATTGGAAATACATAAAACAAATAATTGAAAATATATATGTGGCAACACCCGGTGCTTGAATGGCCCGCGCGACTGTGTAGTCCATGGTACACAGCGAAGTCGCGCTGTGTACCATGGACTACTTCGTTGATTACTACTCACTTCCGAAGTACTGAGTGTGTAATACAGTGTTTATTGTGGACACATTACTGACACATGTATCACAGTTCCCTGGAACATTATGAACGTTCTACTGTATACATATTGTAAAGGACACAAATATGCATCATATACGATAAAAAAACAAATAAAACCGCATTGGAAATACATAAAACAAATAATTGAAAATATATTTGTGGCAACACCCGGTGCTTGAATGGCCCGCACGACCGTGTCTGGGCGAGTCACGCACGGGTGACCAGGCCCTGATGACGTCACAGCACATCTTGTCCACGTCCCTACAGCCAAAGTAAGTGGAATTTTGTACTTATTTTTACATAGACATGTTCAGGAAAGGAAATTTATCATTTTATGAAGAAAAAAGAATTTTTTGGGAACACTTCATTTCATGCGCACCGGGGGAATTTCTCAATAAACTCCGCACAGCACGGTGGTTAATATCTTCATGTTCACACTCATGTTGAAATTCCATTTCAACGTGGTTTGTACATTTGACCACAAGTTCGAGTTCGTTGAAACGGGTGAGCAAATGAGGCCTGAAAAGTGTGCATCCTAACCGGAGATTCACCAAATTGAGGTTGCACTGTATGTCCAAATACCAAGGTTCCACTGGAGTTTGGCACTACACCAGAGTAGTAGCTTCAGTGAACCACTGGGGCTCACAAAGAAATTGGTGTTTCATTAAACTAATTTTGGGTTATTGTATATTTTTCCTTTTATTGATTAGAGCTAGATGATATTTTTGTTATGCACACTTTCTGAGGGGAGCCCCTTCAGCTCCCTGGAGCTATCAGGCTGATATATATTAGTCTGGGGCATCAGTCAATTGGAGTTCAGCCTACCAGAAACCATGAACTAGAACCTGGCCCCCTCTTGAGAGGTAAAGGGAGAAATGGCTTATGGAAACCCCCATGTATTTGGAGGCATTCCATATCTGCCATCAACCTGGGTTGGCACCTAGAAAGGTAGGCATAACAAAACAGACCCCACATGGTAAGAAAATTGCAACCAAAGACCAAACAGAGAGGCAGAACTCTGCCTACTTAACCCTTAAATGGCGCATAGCTATATACCATTTGACACCCACAGGCGCATACCAAAAAAAAAAAAAAAATTATTTTTTCTTCCTAACCTGTTAATTTGTGTTCACTGATCACGGGAAAAATAATAAAAAAATCGTAAGTGGCATATATTGCCCACTATAGGGTGGGGAATTCTGGCAAAAATCAGGCGCTGACTGAGCGTGCGTCCCAGGCGGTCTGTTGATCGCCAGCTGTCAGGCCAGAGTTTCCACAAAGAGATAATTACCTAATTATTTCAATGTCTCTGATTTTTCGTAGTTTTTTTGCTGTAATATTATTCAATAGTGTGTAGTGTGATATATTTATATAATAAAATGAGTGAATCATCGCTGTACTCAAAAATATGGTGTGCATATTGTTGATTCAATTATGTTCATCAAACAGTGAACAAATACTTTGTCGGTTATTACACTATATACACAGGTTATATATAAGTATCTGCATGTTTTGTTCACCATGACGAACCACTAAGTTGGTATGCTGAGTGGCAGTGGCAGTGGCAGGCAGTGACTTGCTGCCACTGGCTGCCACTCCCTCCCTCACCTCACCTGACTTGCCACCATTCTCCACTCAATGGGCTTGGTAGCTCACTCAATACTGAGGCCCCTAACATCCAGGAGTTTGGCCCACGATTTTTTTTTAAAATGGCGTCTGTTTACAAGAGCCCTGATGAAGGTGTGGTGAACCCCGTGTATCCGCGGGCCGTTTAAATCTTGTGTAGTACTCTAAAGCATCACATGATGCTTGTGTAGTACTCTAAAGCATCACATGATGCGATGCGCAATTTACTGCAAGTCGGTCAAAGCATCATATGATGCGATGCGCAATTGAAGGGTTAAAGAAACAAGCAAATGCCACACTCTGCCGCCGCTTGTCTGTGCAGCATTCCTCCTCCTCCCCCCCTCCCCCCCCCCAAGTAGGAGGGGAATGCTGGAATCCCCTTCCAGGCTACCCAACAACTTCAGTTTGTTTGCTGATGTTGCCTGGGGCAGACGTTGACTCTGGCCTCAGATTCTAGGCAGTTGTGTACCTTAGTGGTGTGTTCTCCTGTGTGTGATGCACGGTGGCCTCCCCCTATTTAAAAAGACAAGCAAACGTCACACTCTCCCGCCACTTGTCCATGCAGCCCTCCCCTCCCCAGGAGCGGGAGCTCCATACCCTCTGCCCCGCTACCCAACAATTCCAGTTTGTTTGCTGATGTCTGGGGCAGGCATTGACTCTGGCCTCAGATTCTAGGCAGTTGTGTACCTTAGTGGTGTGTTCTTACTGTGTGTCCAGGAGAACTTTGAGAACTTTTTTCCTAGGCACCCTGTAAGTACTACCCTTTTATTCTAGGGTTCCCTTCCATAGAACTTTCGGTAACCTCCTCCATCAGGGTCTTTACTGCTCAACATTTACCCCGACCTTTGGGCCTACTGGGGTTTTCGTGGCCTTTGTTTGGCTTTGGGTAGGAAGTGGAAGCATTTGTTGGTAGGGGGTGCAAGGTACAGTGTAGCTTACCTACATATGTGACGGCCAGTTTCTATTCCTTTTGGGGATGTTGTCCTTTTGCAGGGTTTTCTGGAGGGAGCCCCTTCAGCTTCCCAGAGCTATCTGGGCTGATATGAATGTATTAGACCCTGGCATCAAAAGAAATGGAGTTCTTAGGCCTACCAGGGACCAAGAGCCAGAACCTGGCCCCCCTCAGAGAGCCACGAGGAGCAATGGCCTATAGAAACCCCTGTGTGGTTAGAAGCATTCTGTGTCTGCCATGGACTGGGTCAGGCACCCAGAAAGGTAGGCGCCCCAAAACAAACCCTATCTGGTTAAGAAATTGCTACAGAAAGCCGAACTGTTGGATAGAACTCCCCAAATGAAAACGAGCAAACGAGCATGATGTCACCACCATCTTGAAATTATCTTGAGATGATTTCGGGGCTTTAGTGTCCCCGTGGCCCGGTCCTCGACCACGCCTACACCCCCAGGAAGCAGCCCGTGACAGCTGACTAACACTCAGGTATCTATTTTACTGCTAGGTAACAGGAGCATAGGGTGAAAGAAACTCTGCCCATTGTTTCTCGCCGGTGCCCGGGATCGAACCCGGGACCACAGGATCACAAGTCCAGTGTGCTGTCCGCAGTCGGCCGACCGGCCGACCAGACCATCACTGCGCCGCTGTCTGTACAATTGATTTTTTTTATATTTTTCCTGTGATCAGGGAACACGACTTAACAGGTTAGGAAGAAAAAAGATTTTTTTTTTTTTTGTATGCGCCTGTGGGTGACAAATGCTAAATAGCCAGGCGCCATTTAAGGATTAAGTTGTAGGGCAAGTTCTGCCCCCATGTTCGGTTTTTGGTTGCAATTTCTTACCTAGTGGGGTTTGTTTTGTTATGCCTACCTTTCTGGGTGCCAACCCCAGTTGTTGGCATACATGGATTGCCCCCAACCACATAGGGGTTTCTATAGGAAATTGCTCCTTTTGCCTCTCTGAGGGGGCCAAGTTCTGGCTCGTGGTCCCTGGTAGACTGAATTCCTATTGACTGTTGCCCTAGACTAATATAACACATATCAGCCTGATAGCTCCAAGGAGCCTCCTAGCTCTCCCAAAAAATGGCATTTCATTACATTCACTGCCAGTTTTTTGCCAAAGTATGAATAACAAATTTGTTAAAGTACTGAACAGGGATTCCTTTTTAATTTATTATTTCTCTTGCAGTGCTCTTGATGCAGAGTCAGAAGCTGTGGTGCAGGCTGCTCTTGAAAACTGTATTGAAGGACGAACTGTACTCATTATTGCTCATCGACTTTCTACAATCCAGAAAGCTAATGTCATTGCTGTCATGGCTCATGGAAAATTGGCAGAGGTTAGTTAAACAGGAGTACCTTTTGTTGCTCCTGAGGGTGTTCAACATTACACTAGAGACAGGAGAGGTACTGGAAATCTGGAAAGGCAAATGTAGTTCCAATACTCAAGGAAGGGGACAGACACAAAGCACCGCACTATAGATCATTGACATTAATCCCAGGGCTGCTTTTGCAATTATAGCCTAAAACATGCCCAGGCACAAGAAAAACAAAAATAAAAAAATATTTCTTCCCATAAAAGTGTTCATTTGTGTTCCCTGATCATGGGGGGGGGGGGGAAATCCCAGGTGGCATATTTTGGCTGCAATAGGGTGGGGAAGTCTGGCAAAAAAAAAGATGCGTTGACAAAGCAAGGGTTGGAGAGAGGTCTGCTCCGCCCGAGCTGTCAATCCTGAGTTGCCACAAAAATATTATTACCTAATTATTTCAATGTCTCTGATTTTTTTTTCAGTAATATTATTCAATAGTGTGTAGTGTGATATATTTATGTAATAAAATATGTAAGCCAAAGCTATATTCAAAATTATGGTGTGCATATGGTGATTCAGTTAATATGTTCATAAAACAATAAACAGTTTTGCTGTTATTACACTATATACACAGGCTATATATAAGTATCTGCATGTTTTGTTCACCATAATGAACCACTAAGTTGGTATGGTGACTCAAAGCAATAAGGGGTGGCTGCCACACCATCCAGCCACTCGCCGCCACTCCCTCCCTCAACAACCTCTCACTCACCAACATTCTCCTCCTGCCATACTGTTTTTGCTTTTATTTATTATATACAGATGTTATATATAAATATCTACATGCTTTGTTCACCATAACGGTACAACTAAGGTGGTATGGTGAGTTCGGGCAATAAGAGAGGTTCCCCCCCCCACACACACAGCTGATGGCTGCCTCCCTCACTGGTTCAAGATCAGACTCACTAACATTTCTTCCCCAACAATACTGTTTGCGGTGTTATTACACTATATACACACGTTATATATAAGTATCTACATATTTTATTCACCATAACTGTACAACTAAGCTTGTATGGTGAATTCACACAATAAGAAAGGTTGCAACACACACATTCAGCTGACAGCTGCCTCCCTCACTGGCTCAAGGCCAGATGCACTAAAATTTCTCCCCCAACAATACTGTTTGTGATGTTATTACACTACATGCATACATACATTATATATAAGTATCTACCTGTTTTATTCACCATAACTGTACAACTAAGCTGGTATGGTGTGCAAAGAGCATAATGGTTACCCTCTACACAGTTAGACAAGTCATGCAGACGACGACGCCACTGTCACCTAAATGGTTCCTCCCAACATTATCCTTTTGCTGTTATTACACTAATACACATGTTATATATAAGTATCTACATTTGTGTTCACCACAGAGAGCCACTGAACTGGTATGGTGAGTGCAGACAATAATAGGAGGCCCACACCACCTACAGCATCTGGTAGCTGAGAGGACAGTGTGCAGGACTCATAATTCTGTGGCCCAGGTTCGATTCCCGGACCAGGCAGAAACAAATGGACAATGTTTCTTTCACCCTGATGCTCTTGTTACCTAGCAGTAAATAGGTACTAGGGAGTTAGACAGCTGTTACGGAGCTGCTTCCTGGGTGTGTGTGTGTGTGGAGGGGGGGAAAAAAAAAAAAGTTAGTTAGTAGTTAGTTACAGTTGATTGATTGACAGATGAGAGGCGGGCTGAAAGAGCAGAGCTCAACCCCCGCAAGAACAACTAGGTGAATACACAGAGCCAGCAGAGGATGCTATCTCCCTCCCTCCCTCCCTCCCTCCCTCCTTCAGCATTACTCCTCACACCATACAGCACAGCACTAATTATCACAGCAATCCTGCTGTTATTAAAATCCAGGTCATTTTTCTCACAGTCAGAGGTTTTCTGTAATACCAATATCGATAAATAATATCAGTTACATATATTTTCTGTGGGGAGCCCCTACGGCTCCCTGGAGCTTATCGGGCTAATGTATGTTATATTAGACCGGGACATTAGCTATGGAATTCAGACCTACCAGGGACCAGCGCCAGAACCTGGCCCCTTCAGAGAGGTTTCAGGGAGCAATGGCCCTGGAAAACCCCGTTGTGGTTGGGGGTTTTCCTTATCTGCCATCGACCGGGGTTAGGCACCCAGAAAAGTAGGCATAAAAAAAAACCCACATGGTAAAAAACTAAAACAAAAAATTGAACAGACAGGTAGAAACTCTCTACAATCCCAAGGAAACAAGCAAACATCAGATTTTACTGTCGCGCCAATTGTCCGCGCAGTCCTCCTTGCACCGAAATGGGGAGGGGAGGGACCCTGGCCCTCACCGCAACGGCAGCCGACAACCAGTTCGTAAGCTAATGTCAACTGGGACAGACGTTTCTCTGGCCTCGGTTTTCTAGGCGGTATTTGCCTTCATGCCATTCACTGCCGTGTGTTGTGTTGTGTTGTGCGGTGGCTAGGTGTTCTCATCAGTACCGGGGCTGCATGCATTTAGCGGCTTCCTTCCTTAAGCGCACTGTGAGTACTGCCCTTGCGTGACAGGGTTATCTTCCCTGGGGCGTTCGGGAACCTTTCCCTTAGAGGTTCTTGCTGCTCGGCTTTTGCCTTGCCCTTGGGGCCACCTGGGGCTTGGGTAGGGACTGGTGTTGTGCTGGTTAGGGCATCAAGGTTTTGTGCGGTCTACAACCTACGCGGCGACTGCTTCCTATTGCCTCTGGGGATGGTGTACTTTTGCAGGGATTTTCTTTTGTTTTTATTTTCTTTGCCAGGTGGGGGAGTCCGCCTAGTGTGTGGCTATAGTTCCACTGGTAGTGTTTAGTGGCCCTCTGCTAAGCTCCTGTGATTGTACATGTCGCAGGGGTTTTCAGTGTTTCATTTACCCCTTGTTAGCTTGGGTGTTAACCCTTAAATGACGCATGGCTATATACCATTTGACATCCACAGGCGCATACCAAAAAAAAAAAAATCTTTTTTCTTCTTAACCCTCAAACCGCGCATATCATATATAAATGATATCAGTGACAAAACCGAAACCGCGCACTTCATTTATATATGATTTCGTGTCTAGCGCTATAATTTAAACGCCCCGCCTGGGATAGGGGCAGCTATAGTACAGCCACGACTGATAGTTGCCAGATGCCACCTAGAAAAAAAATCCAAGCCAACATTCTTGGGGGTTACAGCGTCAGTATTGAGCAAGCCACCAAGGCTGGTGCACGTAGCACGAGCTCACAGCACTGCTGTTCAGCTTGTGTCCACAGCATCGCCTACAAATACCATAATATAAATGATACTGCTATTATTTAGCAGTGATAGTATTACTGAAGCCCCTTGACTGTGATAAAACTGACCAGGATTCTGATAATAGCAGGATTGTGGTGATATTTAGCGCTGTGCTCCATGGAGGGAGGAGTAAGGCTGTGGGAGGGAGGGTTGTGGTGTCGTTTTCTGGCTGTGTGTGGCCACCATTTATTGACTGCACTCACCATACCAGCTTAGTGGTTCGATATGGTGAACACAAATGTAGATACTTATATATAACGTGTGTATAGTGTGAGATAACAGCGAGAGGAGTAGGTTGGGAGCCGCCATTTTGGTGAGGGAGGAGCGTCGTCTGCACGACTTGGCATGTTGTTTACTGATGGCCACTATGGTCTTTGGGCACCATACCAGCTTATTTGTTCAGGTATGGTGAATAAAACAGGTAGATACTTATATATAATGTGTGTATATAGCGTAATAACACAACAAACAATATTGTTGAAGGACAAATATTAGTGCGTCTGGCCTTGAGGGCGGCCGCCGATCAGCTGACTGTGTGACTAGCTATGTCTTATGGCCTTTACTCACCATACAAGCTTAGATGTACAGTTATGGTGAACAAAACATGTAAATACGTATATATAACGTCTGTGTATAGTGAATAAATACAGAAGGAGTATTGTGGGAGGTGAATGAGGGTGAGTGAGGTGGTGTTGAGGGAGGGAGTGGCAGTGAGTGGCTCGCTGGTTTTTGGCGGTCGCTCCTCGTTGCTTTTTGACTCACAAGACCAACTTAGTAGTTCGTTATGGTGTACAAAGCATGCAAATACTTATATATAACCTGTGTATATAGTGTAACAACAGCAAAACTATTTGTTTATTGTTTTATGAACATAATAATTGAATCACTAATATGCACACCATAATTTTGAGTACAACGATGGTTCACACATTTTATAATATAAATATACCACAATTCACTGTATGGAATAATATTACTGCAAAAAAACTAAGAAAAAATCAATCAGAGACACTGAAATAATTAGGTAATAATATATTTGTGGCAACTGCCGTCTGACAGCTCGGGCGGAGTAGACCTCGTCTCGCGAAGGCTCTGCCAACGCCCCTTTTCTGTGGGGAGCCCCTACGGCTCCCTGGAGCTTATCGGGCTAATGTATGTTATGTTAGACCGGGACATTAGCTAAGGAGTTCAGACCTACCAGGGACCAGCGCCAGAACCTGGCCCCTTCAGAGAGGTTTCAGGGAGCAATGGCCCTGGAAAACCCCATATGGTTGGGGGTTTTCCTTATCTGCCATCGACCGGGGTTAGGCACCCAGAAAGGTAGGCGTAACAAAACAAACCCCACATGGTAAGAAACTACAACAAAAACCGAACAGAGAGGTAGAAAACTCCCTACAATCCCAAGGAAACAAGCAAACAAAGCAAACATCACACTTTACTGCCGCGCCGATCGTCCGCGCAGCCCTCCCCACCCCGGGAGGGGGAGGGGGGAGCCCCGGACCTACCGCGCCGGCTGCCAAGCTTCAGTTCGTTCGCTAATGTCAACCGGGATTGACGCTTCTCTGGCCTCAGTTTCCTAGGCGGTGTTTGCCTTGTGTGGCGTTCACTGCCGTGTGTTGTGGTGTGCGGTGGCCAGGAGTACTTCATCAGTGCCGGGGCTGCATGTGCTTAGTGGCTGACTTCCCTAAGCGCC